AGAAGATATGTAGTTCATGCATATTCAGAGATGAATATATAAAGTGGTGTCCAAAAGTCTGAGACCACAATGAAAAGCTACATTCTAGGATTTAATTTTAACACAGAAAAGATGTCAATCAAATGTAATAAAAATCAGAATAATAAATTAAATAATGATTTCACTGCAGTGGTTTAAAAACAAATTTGACCCTAAGTTTCTTTACATTTCCAACCATTTGAATGGGCTTTAACTAACAATCTGTTGAAATGCAATAATATAATGCAACAATAATGCATTATGTATTGCATACCATGCACTAAATTACAAAAAAGTACCATGATATTATCATGTTTTTAGACATGGACCATGGTGATCTTTAAAGTATAGTTTAAAAACCACCGAAATTATTCCAAAATATTACCTTTTTTACATTTAAAAGCAATTCTGTCACACTAGTTTTCAAGACTGCTTTATTCAGGCACATGACTTCTTGGTCACACTTGCCATGCAAGCTTAATGACAGAGCAATTCAGTTAACATCTGACAGACATAAGGTTCTTTCTTTAATAAGGGACTTTTCCTCTCTCAGTAGCGGTTCATTCAGGATGAAAGGTCCCCTTGGACAGAGACAAACCGCTTACAAGTGTCGAGGATAATGCTCCAATTATACACAGCCTGAGACACAAAGACACCATAACATGGCCAAGAGCGACTGCTCTGGTTCCCGCTCTGTCGTCGGCTTTCCCTTTGGCAAGGTCAATAAAGCATGTCTTTTTTGGAAACATAAAAATAATGCATTGCTGCAACACTGGGCCACAGATGCAGTCATGGCAGTGCGCTCTAGTGATCACAGAAGATACTGCATGCACAGAAGCTCCTTGAATGAACCTCATGGCTGTGCATATAGCGCCTCCTTGTGACATACTTAAAAAGTCAAAGCTCAGGTTTGATCATTGTAATTCCTGCAGGGTTTCGCACTGAGCAAGGTTATGTATGATGTGACAGTTTTTCTCAACCTTGGTCTATGCAGGAATGGATCAAAGAACACAAACGTGTTTCGTTGATCTTGAAAGGCAGATCAATAAAACGCGTGATTAAAATGCACCAGCAGCTTTCCCAAAACACATCATTCACATCTGAAAGAGAATTTAAGCATAACGCTCAGGTATTGCAATACACTCTCTCTAGACGTTATTTTTAGGGCTGAAACATCTATAATAGCATTCATTAAACATTCATCATCAACCACAGGGGCACACAGCACAAAAGAAGATATTTTGAAGAATGTTGGTAACCAAACAGTTGACGGCAGCCATTGGCTTTCATAGTATTGTTTTCCATACTAAGGAGGTGAATGGGTACCGTCAACTGTTTGATTACTAACATTCTTCAAAATATTTCCTTTTCTGCAAAGTTGTTCCAAACTTGTATGAGAAAGAAACAGGTTTGGAACAACTAAAGGGAGAGCAAAAGATGACAGAATTTTCAGTTTGGGGTGAACTATCCCTTTAAGTCACATTTAAACAGCATGTTGTTTTGCAGTCATTTTGACCTTGAAAACATTTTCTTTTTCTCCAAAATGCTAGTTCAAGTTGTCACATCTGATTAAAAATTTTCTCACATAGGGTACTTTTTTGTGATTTTTTTTTTTATTCTTGTGGTGTTCCTAAGTTAAAAATGACCGACCTACAAAAATTGCTTATACATTTCTTATGCTGTATTATTACCAAATATTGGATTCAATCTTTTTATTAACATATTTTCTTTCAATTAACACAGGTTTTGCATTTCTTTTTTGGATCTGACTGATCGTAGGCCCCATTGATCTGGGGGGGGTCCCCTTGGACAGAGACAAACCGCTTACAAGTGTCGAGGATAATGCTCCAATTATACACAGCCTGAGACACAAAGACACCATAACATGGCCAAGAGCGACTGCTCTGGTTCCCGCTCTGTCGTCGGCTTTCCCTTTGGCAAGGTCAATAAAGCATGTCTTTTTTGGAAACATAAAAATAATGCATTGCTGCAACACTGGGCCACAGATGCAGTCATGGCAGTGCGCTCTAGTGATCACAGAAGATACTGCATGCACAGAAGCTCCTTGAATGAACCTCATGGCTGTGCATATAGCGCCTCCTTGTGACATACTTAAAAAGTCAAAGCTCAGGTTTGATCATTGTAATTCCTGCAGGGTTTCGCACTGAGCAAGGTTATGTATGATGTGACAGTTTTTCTCAACCTTGGTCTATGCAGGAATGGATCAAAGAACACAAACGTGTTTCGTTGATCTTGAAAGGCAGATCAATAAAACGCGTGATTAAAATGCACCAGCAGCTTTCCCAAAACACATCATTCACATCTGAAAGAGAATTTAAGCATAACGCTCAGGTATTGCAATACACTCTCTCTAGACGTTATTTTTAGGGCTGAAACATCTATAATAGCATTCATTAAACATTCATCATCAACCACAGGGGCACACAGCACAAAAGAAGATATTTTGAAGAATGTTGGTAACCAAACAGTTGACGGCAGCCATTGGCTTTCATAGTATTGTTTTCCATACTAAGGAGGTGAATGGGTACCGTCAACTGTTTGATTACTAACATTCTTCAAAATATTTCCTTTTCTGCAAAGTTGTTCCAAACTTGTATGAGAAAGAAACAGGTTTGGAACAACTAAAGGGAGAGCAAAAGATGACAGAATTTTCAGTTTGGGGTGAACTATCCCTTTAAGTCACATTTAAACAGCATGTTGTTTTGCAGTCATTTTGACCTTGAAAACATTTTCTTTTTCTCCAAAATGCTAGTTCAAGTTGTCACATCTGATTAAAAATTTTCTCACATAGGGTACTTTTTTGTGATTTTTTTTTTTATTCTTGTGGTGTTCCTAAGTTAAAAATGACCGACCTACAAAAATTGCTTATACATTTCTTATGCTGTATTATTACCAAATATTGGATTCAATCTTTTTATTAACATATTTTCTTTCAATTAACACAGGTTTTGCATTTCTTTTTTGGATCTGACTGATCGTAGGCCCCATTGATCTGGGGGGGGGGGGGGGTGCATTGGAAATGCAATATAGAAAACATTAAAACAAGTGACATCTGTGCTCAAATGCTGTAGAAGCTTTTCTCAGAACTTCCCCTTTTTGAGGCATTTTACTTTTGCAATTAGTCTCAAGGTCATCTTCGGTGGTTGTATTCTAGAAGTCACTTTTGACAGCCAGAAAGTGTCTAAATTAATTAAATCTGTTCATTTTGAAGTTTTTGAACTTCCTTTTCATCACCTTTTCAGTGAACCAGTTGGAATGTATCCAATTCATTTTTAATGTGGTTTAAGTGTCCAAATACTATGGTGGCATTTTGTCAGGCTTGTGATTTTAGTTAAAAAAAGAAAAGAAATACAACCTATGATGTGGCTGAGCTTCTCAATACACAAGAATTTATGTGAAATGTATTTGAAATATGTTAGGTTCTACCATTTCCAGCTAAATCTGTAGAACAGAGCGTCTTGGCTCTACAAGTCCCCTTAGTGGAAACAAAATCAATGTCTAATAGACAGGGAATATAAAACGGATGAGACAATGTTTCCACTGACAGACAGGTCTCTTCTGTCATGTCCAATGATGGACCAAAGGCCTAAAACCACGAGGATGAGACAGCAGGACTTACGTAACGTGATGCATTTCCCAGTGAAACAAAATCACTTTCCAGAACATTCTCGTTCACCGTTCCTGGCTGGTTGGAATGATCTTCCCGCCCCTATCCGGAATGCTGAATCCCTGACAATTTTCAAGCGACAGCTGAAAACTCATCTCTTTCCACGCTACTTGACTTCATCCTAAATTTTAAAAAAATAAAACTTTGTCTTTCTCTTCATTTATTCCTTCCCTTTCTAGCTTGTACTTATTTGAACAAATGCCTGAAACTTGGTATTACGAGCACTTCTTTAAGCAGCTCTTTAAGAAGAATCGCTTTATGTATTCCCCAATTGTAAGTCGCTTTGGACAAAAGCGTCTGCAAAATGACTAAATGTAAATGTTATTCCTTCCCTTTCTAGCTTGTACTTATTTGAACAAATGCCTGAAACTTGGTATTACGAGCACTTCTTTAAGCAGCTCTTTAAGAAGAATCGCTTTATGTATTCCCCAATTGTAAGTCGCTTTGGACAAAAGCGTCTGCAAAATGACAATGTAAATGAACAAAGAATAAAATAAATCAAAATGCACTCATGAATCGATCACAAAAAAAAAAAACAGAAAATATTTTTTAGTCCACCAAAAAACAAAAAATTCTGTAATCATTCACTCACCCTCATTGTTCAAACCCATAAGACTTTATATACTCTTCAAAACACAAGTTAAGATATTTTTTAATGAAACCTGAGAGGTTTCTGTCCCTCCAGTTTAAGTCCAAAACTTAGAAGATGCAAAAAAAGTCAAAGAGATGTGTAGAGATCACTTTGTATGATGAACAGATTTAATTTAGGCTTTTTAATTTAGGGTTAACCAGAGTCTTATGGGTTTGGAATGACATGAGGGTAAATGAGTAAACATTTATTTTTGGGTTAACTATCCCTTTAAGAAATAAAAAGGGTTCATTTTGTTGACTTAAAACAAGATATTTTCATTTCACTTAATCAGTTGACCACAAATAGGTCCCAAATGTAGTTAGATGTACATTTAACTAGCCAACTAAAAACACACACACGCACACACACACACTGCAAGAGACAACAACTTGTCACTGCTGAGTTACCCTCAAAGATACACCTGTGTACTTCATCTAATATACAATACTAATATACAATTAGATAAAGTACTTTATACTAATATTCAATATTAGTGCCTTAAAAGTACATACTAATATGGTTAGATAAGGTATAAAGGCATACTTCTGAGGGCACTGCTGCAACAAGCTAAATCTGGTGTAGTTGACTTTGCTTTTTTTTTTAATATTAATTCCATAAATACTCCAAGCAGCCCTGTAAAAAATAACCGGAGAAAGAACCAAGTGTGTTCCACAATGTTTGTTTTATTATTCTGAACATAGCCCCGGTGTCACAAATTCAACTTAACTTGATTATATGTCTTTTAAAAAAGAAAGAAAAACTGAGCAGGGAGGAGAAAAAAAAAAGTTTCTTAGATGCATTACAGGGTGATTCATCTGTGGCTCTGAAAATGTAAAGACCGTGAGAAAACTGCCACTACATATATTAATTTGCACAATAACTGCCTATTAGTTTTCGCTAATGAAGACTTCAATAAAAAGGTCAAAGCCAACCGAAGCATAAATGAAGAACAGCACAACAAACCCCCACCATTCACTGGAAATACAATTTAATTCAATGATTAACTTCGTTAGAGTACCTAAGGATAATAACAGTGGTTCTAATGTTATAATTACTGAAGTACTAGTCGGTGGCGTAATGAAAGCTACATAACAGCATGCCGTCGCATAAAGCACTGTGGTTAAGCAAGAGCAAGTGTACAGCAAATCCTTACCATTGACACAATCGGTGATTCCTACTGAAAACACCCTACCTCAAACTCACTTTCTAGCGATTTTCATAGTACAACAGTGTGGAAAATGTTCAAACGCATCAGAAAAACTTATGTAATGAGCTATTTAAATGTTACGGATCACAACACACACTTATGTTCAGTTACATCGCAGTGATATGAGATCAATGTGAGCGTTTACTGGTAGGATCGATGTATAAAATTAATCTATCACTGTAAAAATAAGGCTGTGTCATTCAAACGATGCAAAACAGCGAGTCGGACGCTCTCTGAATCCCGTCCCTGAATGGCAAGGGTTTGCTGTTTTATTCGTACAGTAACATCTCAGCGTATTTCTGCGGCGTGTGATGGACTCGTATACAAACAGAGTCTGACAGCAGGTTGGAGAGTCATATTTTAATGCACCCGACAGATCCTTGCGCACGGTTTGATTTCAGAACAGAACAGAGCATCCGTTTACAACGCGCTGAAACACACTGCGATCGTGTCAAATACAGACATTAAAAATAAAAACGAAACAGAAGAGAAGAGAAAGTTCAGAACCGCTCCCACCCCTTTTGCGATACTACTAGTAGACTACAGGCACACTTTTAGGACCCTTAACGTTATTGTCAGTGAGGGGTTCAGATACACACAAAAAAAAGTTCAGTTAACTTACAATTTACTCAGCTGCTTTTTACATTTCTTTTTTTTCTCTTTTTTTTAATAAGCATGCCGTTGTATATGCATCCTTTTTTAGTTTTGGTGTCTCGTTACTTTAACTTAAAATGAACAGATCTGTATAAACCTCACCTAGCATGCCTTCTTTCTGCGTCTATGCTGACTGGATTCAGTTCATCATCATAAAGCTCGTGGTCGATGCAAATGTTACTGGAAGAGAGAGATTTGTGCACTCGTAACTTTAAAACAGAATTGAACATGGTGCCACACAATATAGGTGTTTTCCTTCCTTTGTTTCTCAAGCTAAACTATTAGAAATGTCCAATCGCAGAGGAGACTGTTTGAGTGTGGAGTGAGCAATATTTGTTTGGTTTTTCTTTTTCTGATGATTTACAAGACATTTCTAAGAGTAAGGTTTAAGACAGAGGGTCATAACAATCATTTACAATTAATTGCTGTATGTCTGTCCTTCCGGTGGTTGAGGAAGCTTCATATTCTCTTTGGACATCAAAAGACGCCTTAGCTCTTGAAGAACGACTTTAATGCTATATGAGTTTTGCCATTTTGCTAGAATTGGTATGCTACGTGCATCCACCTGAAACAAAAGAAGAAACAGAAAGAAAGGGAGGGGATATGCGGAAATGAGTTACATGATTTCAGTTACAGCCGCACATGTCATTAAACACTGCAAGAGTCCATCTGAACTGCACTAAATTAAATAAAGAATACGCAGGATTTATTCAAGAAATGTTTTGCCGTTTACACAAGCTAAACTCTGTCAACAGCATTTGTGATAGAATTTCAATTCATTCCTCAGTTATTAAAATCAAAGGGGAAAAAATGGTGGTTATAGTAACTCACAATAAAAATATACAGACTGTAAAGACTGTATACAGACTGTGTATACAGACATTAAATACATAGTTTTAACCCTCGTGCTGTATGTTGAAAATTTGTAATCACATAATCAAAAGTTAATTTGGCTAAAAAAACAGTCCCACCCCAGCTAAAAAATACCAGTTTCACATTTCTGTTTTCAGACTAGCTTGGTTAAAGGGTTAGTTCACCCAAAAACGAAAATTAGGCTGCGTTTTACTCACCCCAGAGGCATCCTAGGTGTATATGACTTTCTTCTTTCAGACGAATCCAGTCGGAGTTATATTAAAAATTGTCTTTGATCTTTCAAGCTGTTTCATGGCACTCAGCGGGTGTTGCATTCCTTCAGTCCAAAAGAACTTAAATAAAAATCGCCCATCCATAAAAAAAAGTATTTTTATTTAAGTTCTTTTGGACTGATGCATGCAACACCCACTGAGTGCCATGAAACAGCTTGAAAGATCAAAGACAATTTTTAATATAACTCCAACTGGATTCGTCTGAAAGAAGAAAGTCATATACACCTAGGATGCCTAGGGGGTGAGTAAAGCGCAGCCTAATTTTCATTTTTGGGTGAACTAACCCTTTAACTCACAAAGGCAGTGTTTTACTGCAAATGTGATTTTTGCATAAAAACTGAGGGATGAGTCAAAACTATTTTCTGTGCTAATCAAATTATGCCACAAATGCCGTTGAAACAGCTAAACTCGAACCTGGAACTCGTCAATGAGATTTTCTCATACCAACTAGCTAAAAAGCACAAAAACAGTAAAAGCTTAAACTAGAAGTCAGTTAAAGTGGGCGCAAATAATATTCCACTTAGCAAAAACGTATCACAAAAATGTCCTGTTGTATCAGTATGACTGCTGTATAAAAATGTATCAAATAGACCTCAATTTCCAGATGAGCCAGGTGATTGGGCTTTATAATCATTACTGTAGAGTTAAGGGTAATTTAATCTTGTGACAAAAAACAAGAAACTCAATCTTTATTTGTGCACAGGGTGACAATCTTCAGTCTGAACATGGGGTAAGATGTGTCACTGCACCATATTTTTGAGAAGTCATATTACAAAAGCTTCCTTCTCATTTTAGTTGAAGGCAGACATGCTTATGTATCACTTTTACTTGACTAAAAGTCAATTTGATATTAAATTTAAGACACAACTTATCATATTTCCCCCTATTTGCTTCGAGATTTAGTTCATCTTAAACCAGTATACTTCTACTAAGCAAACAGCACAAAGACTTGGATTCTAAATCCAACAAACTATTTCGACCAACCATTAAGAAAAACAGACACAAATGAGGATTCAACAATATAACAACCCTCTGTGGAGTAATAAAGCGTTTCATTTACTATGGCTCCTTTTCTATTTTGTATCCAGCTGAATCTCATTAGATGTGTTTGAGATTCATTATTGGTTCTGCTTAGGCACAGTGAAAAACGTCCCTCCTCTGCAGCACTGATGTGACTCGAGTGCCTCTGTTCTGCATCGCTATGAAAAACTGCAACGTCACACATTTCGAACAGTTTGCAGCTAAATGATCTTAAACACAGCTGATGATGCTCTGTTAAAATAACAATCAAAACAGTCATTTATAAAGATGATTCAACTTACCATCCCATTGGAATTATTTATTCCATTCATGCTAATTTTTGTTACAAATCTAACAGTCGGTGGTACTTCGGGATATTTAGGTCCGCACTCCACTTTCAGGCTGTATATCCTGTTTTCGTAATTAGTCTGAGAAATGAGGAAAAAGTCAAAAGTTAAAGCCGAAATGCCAAGTGGAACATGAAAGTGAGAGGATAATGAACACATCAATTCATCAAAGAGAACAGACCCACACATCTTAAAAAAAAAAAAAACATCACAATTCACATGCTGATACAATGTTTTCATCGTTAGTATTCTATACGATAACAGCACACAATAATAGACTACAGATGGAAACAGCATCACACTTAACTCAGGGTTTTATGATGGTACATTTGAGATGTTTTAAGACCTTTTTAAGACCAAGTAAAGAAAATTTACAGAATAAATTGAACGGGAACAAAATACGTCAATATATTCTCAAAATGCAAATGTCTAGGGAGCACAAAATGAGAAAGTTTAAAAATACAACTTCCAACAGATCTCCATTACTTTTTAATTCATTTTAGAAACTAATAGCTTAAGGCTTGAATACCTCTGTTCCCAACAACTAAAATATGGAAATAACCATAATTTCTACTGCACCTGCAAAAATGTGATATTCTTCCACAGTAGCTCTCAGTATGTTGTTTTCGATTACAAATATCTAAAGTTTCTTAAATCAAAAAACATTGTCTCAAGAAGCAAAGCAATATGACTTAAGATAAAAAGTCATTTTCTGAGAAACAGATCAAAATGAAGTGAGTTTGAATAAAACAAGAACTAATATCAGCCAATGGACTCTTAAACGCAAAATGAAAACAAGTTATGATGCTCTAAATCAAATCAAAGTTTATTTATAGAGCACTTTTTTAAAACAACAACTGTTCACCAAAGTGCTGTACAAGCATAATCAAAATAAAACAATTTTACACACAGCAAAAATAGCAGATATTAACACTAACAAAATACATAAAACAGCTCTCATACGGAGTTAAATGCCAGAGTATAAAAATAAGTTTTAAGACTGGCTCTTACGACATTTGTTTGACATTAATTTTGTTCAATTTCTCAGAAAACAAGACTTCATATTATTTTGCATCTCAAGCAAATGCAAGACGATTTAAGGATATTTAGATATTTCTATTATATTTGTATTTTTGCAGTGAATGCAACATTAAATGCTAGAAATGTATGAATTTATGACTTTCAGCTCCAATTTAAGACCTTTTTAAGGCCTTAATTTATGGAAGGGCAAATTAAGACCTGCAAAAACCCTGCACTTTTTTCTTTAAATGATGACATGTAAAAGAGAAAGGAATTCACCAATATTATCTTTACACAATTATGTTGTAATTTCAGGCTAGCTGAATATTTTGAATGCTAAAGAACCACTTCTATTTAGCAAATTACTAGGTTAAAAGCTCCCTGAAAAACAAACAAACTAAAAGGTAGAATTATCTTACTTTGCCTGTAGAACAGCACTATTATTATGGAGATTCTCACTAAGAAAAAATGTAAAGGTCATTTTTCACCCTGAATTCAAAATAAGAAAGTTAATAATTTACATTAAAAAGTAAGTAAATTTTAGGACCATTCATATTATTTGCATATTTGTACCAATTCAGAATTTTGTTGCACCCAAAATTTACTGCAGTGTGAAAAAAAAAAAAAATCTCATTCTCATCCCCCTTCTGTTTTATTACAAAGGCATCCTGCCTTCTGTTTTATTACAAATATAATTCAATTCATAATGAAAGGGCTTAATTGTCATGAAAATGAGTTCATCGCAAACGCTCATAAAAATAGGCTTCATTATCTTTCAAAATATAATTTTAATAATTCTGGGGGTGAAATATGACCTAGGTTTCATGGCAAGTTTCAGTTTACCCATTAAGCAAATCTATCCTAAAGACCTTTGAGTGATTCATATTTCCAGACCAATAAAGAATCAGTTGCAAACTTGAACAAATACATAAATCACTGAAGGACGTTTCTGCTACATTACTGCTTTCATAGCATGCATCTTTAATCTACACCACCAGCGGTCATGTGTCACGCTGGATGGCATGATGAAGGCATGTTGTTTACTGGTGCCCAAGGCTTCCAGTCACTCTATCAAAATAGCTGAAATGCAACAAACAAAATCTTGATTTCTTAACACATCATTTGAAGAATGTGATGCTTTCTTCAGATGAGTCATCAGTGTTGTCACTTAACTGCTACATCAAACTGATTAAACAGCAAACATACTCGTGCAGGTCCGATGATCATGCCTGTCCACCGTGTGAGAGTCATATCCTCGTCATCCTCCAGACCCCAGCTCACCGTCCCATCACCGACACCCTTCTGTCCTTCCTCAAGCTCTTCCAACAAACGAAAATTACGAGGGACTTTAACTCCTGCAAGAATCCAAAAACAACTCATGAACATGTTTCTGTAAACCTTTGTTTGCAGCTGGTTAGTTTGACATGTTGGAAATAATTTAAGATGAAGCATAACAATTTTTCAAGACTCTTGTATAATTATTATACATGCAGTTTTTATGAGTTCATATTGAGTGACTTCATGGAATATTTATATTCTTAAAAATGTATTTGTCACACCGCAAGACTACATAAGTGAAAAGCAAAAGGAATAAAAGTTGATTAAAAATGAATGGGAAACCTAAAATATACACTTTTCCTCTCCTTATGTATTTATGATTCAATTTATGTAAAAGGTTTTCATGGGTTCATTCTACATCATTCAGGGAATTCATATTTAATATCTGATTTCACAATGATCACAGAGTTTGTATATATGATCACAAACATTTCAGAGAGTTGCATATTTCATTTAATACGAAACCAACATCTGTTTCCTTTTTTTGTGGATGTGGATGGTACAATTTAAATGCTTAATTTAAACGTGATCTCATATGAAACCAACAAAAGCTTCTCTTTATTGTAAATGTGAAAAAACTCTTATTTAATGTACAATTTAAATGAGTAATTTAATTTAAATACTCAACCAAGACAAAAATGATAATGTAGGAACCTATAAGATTTAAACACAAAATCTGTGCGGTTTCAAATGTGAAACGTTAGTAATCTGTGCATTTCAACACTGAGTATCACCTAGTGTTTTCATAGATACTCCAGTGTTGAAAAAGTGGAGGGACAAGATTCGCAAGTTCAGGTGAGCGTCTGAAGGAAAGACTGATCACTCATTTGTGAATGATTCAGGAAATGACACCCATGTTGCTCTATCAGTGTTTCTCACTTCCTCAAAATCTCAAGACGAACACGACATGCACAAGCCTGAACAACTCAATATATTTCTGTCTGATAAAATATCGGCTGATGCATCTGACCTTATGTAAACATTTAAGATAATATGTAAACACATACAGTCCTAAATTTCATATATCTGATTCTAGATAAGCAAACGTCCAAATTAGCCTGTGCAAATGTAATGATCTGTGAGTTTTAACATGTTAAAAACACAACAAGATGAGCTGTTCTGTACATATGTAGCCTATAAACTCTAAATGTTATTTGATCTGAACATAAGCTACATGATCTTACACTGCAGTAAATTGCATTAAACAATTAATTAAACAGCTAAAAATTTTAAAAGTCTCCTTTAGAGTATATGTATAAATCAACACCTCATAAACTCTAAACGTCATGTGTTCTGTTATGAAATGGCTTTGCACTTAAATGAGTGTTGTTATGCGCCTATATATCTATATTACACAATCACAACGCACTTCTCCAAAGACTTATTATCTTTAAATAGTTTAAATGACTCTATGAGGGAGTAATAGCCTGCTCAGGTGCTATTATGACAGACAAACAGCAGTTAAAGGCCCGTTTGTCATGACACTGGACGGATCCAGCAGCAGCACGACCGTCAATGCTCCGCCTCGCCTCACATTTGCACTGATACACCCGCCCAACTGCAATATACAGCATTTAATCTATGCCTTACTACTATAGAAGTTCATAATTACATCTGAAGCGCGTCTATAATATTGATTAGCTGATAATAAAAAATAAATATGATGTTATTTTTAAACTAAAGGTCTATCTGAGGGCCGTTAGCTCGATGCTAACACACACACAGTTCAAACTGCACACAGATCTGTTAGGTGAAGTAAATTAAGGAGTTTGATAACGGTAAACCTGTCGGATAATCTTTATCGGGTCGTGAGGCACGGGCTCAGCGCTTCTGCTGCTATATTACGGCCGCGGAGGACCGCGAGGATTGAGGAGATTGTGAGACAAACCTGAGGAGGCCGCCATCTTCTTCTGCCCGAATCCAAAAGCGTACGAAAGCGTGACGTCGACGCGTCATGTGACTAATGTCCGTGCTGTAGGAAGCGAGGGAGGGGCGTGGCTCCACTGCAATATTATTAATATATAATATATTACACCTGAGCTTGACAATACGTTTTTTTTTTACAATATCACATTTAAGGACGTGTTAAATTATATCGTTCCACTAGTACACCTTGAGGATGTTGTCATGTTTTCAGGTGATGCAGTTAAAATATTGTTTTAACTGGTAATTTTATATCTTTGTCCTCAATTTCACTTTTCAGCCCTCTGTAATATACTTTAAAAACAGGTCATTTATGACATTATCCTTCAATAAGGGACTTTTTCGTGAGAAAACAACAGACATCAGAGCATTGAATGCAATGAATTTGATTTTTTTTTACTTAGTTTCTCAGTCTACATTCCTAAAATGACACATATTATATAAAAATTGTTTGTTTCCCATTTTCTCTTCTATTCTGTTAATTTTTTTTTTCCATTGTGTAAATATTCCATTTATAATAAATCAGCTCTAGTTCCTGTGTGATAATACATTGCCATCGAGTGTTTTTATATACATTTGTCCCGTTTGGGTTTGTATTGTTGTTCTTGCACCTTGTTTAAGTGATTCTTTGAGGTTTTAACCAGCACCATGTGATTGATTCGGTTCAGTGAATAGATGCTTTCCACATTTGATTATGTAAATAACAGCTATAAACCACCAATGTCTTCTCTTGAACAACAAAATTCATTTATTGCAACCAGAAATTGTCCATACATATCACTATTAACAATAATTGCTCTATAGAAACAGAGAATAGGATAAAGCAAGTAACAAAAGGGAGGAAGCAGCAGTCAGGCACAGCGAGCGTTCACAGAAGCCGAACAGTCTTTCCTGTGACGGTCAGATAATCTTCATCAGCAAGTGCTCTGAGGGCCTCTTCGAACATTTCCTTTGTGATGGCCTGAAATGGGAGGAAAATGTTTAAGTTAAGATTTTCCTTGGGCTTCAGGCTTGCATATATAGTTGGAGTGTCTATGCATTATTAGCATTATTAAAATAATTAGAGGAAAGCATACCGCTTCTGACTGGCCACGAAGATCATCAAACAGCTGCTGGTACTTCATAGCTGGTGTTTTGCCCTTTGATTGGATGAGTTTCTTCAGAGCCTGAGCCACTTCCTCCTTACGCTTGCGTGCTGTAGCACTCATCCCTGTACAGAAACAACCAATCAAAACCATCAGACTCTCTTCAATTTGCATACAATATCCACAGGTACTAGTTAAGGCATAATAAAGGGATAAGTTGGGAAACTAATAATTAAAATATTTGATATACTTTAATTACATTGATTTATTCCTACTTTATTCATTTAAAATATAAAAACGTTTATATTAATTGTTCTTTTATTGAGACATAGCAGTGGTCTGCACAAGCATTCATATCTTTACAGAAACAACCAATTAAAACCATGACAGCAAATCTGCATACGACATTAACAGTTACTAGTTAAGGATAATTGATGAAATGCCTGTGCAAAGAAAACACCGCCACACGCCCGCGTCATGGTACTGTCGTGAACGCGCATCCACAAGTGACGCAGTAGAGACGAAAATGTGGAATAAAGTCGTTATTTTTGTTTTCTTGCGCAAAAAAGTATTCTCGTAGCTTCGTAACTTTACAGTTGAACCACTGATGTCACACGGACTACTTTGTCGATCATCTTGGTACTTTTCTGGACCTTGAACGTGGTAGTTACCTTGCTGTCTATGGGAGGGTCAGAGAGCCCTCAGATTTCATCAAAAATATCTTAAATTGTGTTCCGAAGATGAACGAAGGTCTTACGGGTTTGGAACAACACGAGGGTGAGTAATTAATGACAGAATTTTCATTTTAGGGGTTTTGGGTGAACTAACCCTTTAAGACTGGTTTTGTGGTCCAGGGTCACATTTATTAGTAATCTTAATAATTTAACATTTTAATATTAATACTTTTCTTTCGAGTTATAAACAAGACCATGTGACTCGACCTGGCCAGCACTAAGTTTATTACTACATTTCTGAACTAGTGCTGTCAAACGATTAATCACATCCAAAATAAAAGTTTTTCTTTACATAATATGTGTGTGTGTACTGTGTATATTTATTATGTATATATAAATACAAACACATGCATGTATATATTTAAGAAAACATGTTATGTTTATATATTAAATATATTTATATATATTTAATATAAAATATAAATGTATATACATGTAAATATTTTCAAAATATATACTGTGTATGTATTTATATATACATAATAAATAAACACAGTACACACACACACATATTATGTAAACAAAAACCTTTATTTTGGATGCAAAAAATATAAATGTATATACATGTAAATATTTTCAAAATATATACTGTGTATGTATTTATATATACACATAATAAATAAACACAGTACACACACACACACATATTATGTAAACAAAAACCTTTATTTTGGATGCAATTAATAGCTTGACAGCACTACTCTAAACTCTACCTGTGGTGAGGATGGAGATATCCACGAATCCTGTCCTGGGATCAGTTGCGGACTGTTTCAGGGCTTCTCTGTGCAGTCTCTTGGCTTCCTCCACATCGATGGACTCTACTTTGCTTGAGAAACGTACTTTAGCGTGAGCTTCAGCCAGTCTGATGAGAGACTCCAGCTGACGGGGGTACGCAGACACCATCCCTCTGCCGCTGCCGATCTTACGCATGTCTACATAGGCCTGCAAGGGTCAAAATTACAATTCATTTAATATCGTCAACATGCATTATATATCATACTACAGTACTACAGGTACATTGATCTATATTGTTTCTATACCTCAACAAGGGCCTGACTAGCTTCCTCACTGAGTCTGGGATGCACAGACGTGCGAGCGAAAGCGATGTAGTCTTTCAACACGGCCATGTCCAGATGCTCCTCTTCAATCTGCTCTTCACTCTGATAATACAGAGCCACGAGGTGATGCGCGAGACGCCGGTCATACGCCTCATCCTGAGGGTCCAGCATCAGGAAGATCAAATCAAACCTAAGAACCAGAGATTTTATTAGTTTACTAATAATAAAGAGAAATGTTCAACAAAAAAGCTAAAATAAAGTATTTTAACATTTGGATGTTAATGTTTAAAACAGATTGAGATCATTAAAGTCAAAATTTATGCCATTTACTGTCTATAATAAACGTCTCTAGGGTTACTTGTACAATTCGCCAATTGTAAACAAATTTTTTAAATAGTACATTTTCTCTTCTGAGAGGACTTTATTGCTAACACTACTAAAGAAATTGGATTAAATTGATCAAAAGTGACAGTAAAGACATTTATAATCTTACAAAAGATTTAAATAAAAACGTTCATCAAAGAATCCTGAAAAACAAAATATTAAGCAGCACAATGGCTTTTGGTATGTTTTATTCTGGTATCAGTGAAATATTATATATATATATATATATATATTTTTTTTATATTTTTAAGATTTATATATATATATATTTTTTTTTTTTTGAATTTTAATTTTAAAGTTTTAGTAATTTGGTGGTGTTTGTCTCACTTTTATGTATTTATTTTTTTAAATAATGTCAATATTTTATTTATTTTAGTTTTTTTTTTTTTTTACACTATATGAAGTTCACTAAATTACATGAGAAGTTTTGTTTTTGCAACTAGCTTGGCAAGTGTTTACTATTTATTTCAGTTACCATTTATTTTAAGTAACGTAATGTTTTCTTACCGTTTAAGTTAACTATAATAAACTTTTGAAGAGTCGTGTAGCACACTTTTTACAATCAACTATAATCCTGATGGATAAATCGTTCTCGTGGAAATTATCCACTCAAAATTCTGTTTCTCTCAAAAATACATCACATTATGGATGTTAAGTGTGTTGTAAATGCTGTGTCATGTTGTGTTCTTACCTGGACAGAAGTGTGTGAGGCAGCTGGATGTTTTCTATGGTGGTCTTCTTGGGGTTCCATTGAGACTCCACTGGATTGGCTGCAGCGAGAACGGAGGTCCGAGCATTAAGCTGGCAAATGATTCCAGCCTATGACACACAAAAACTGCATTAATTACCTGTCGTGACAATCAATCGTCACAGTGATCGTTCACGCATCACTCTCACCTTAGCAATAGAGAGCGTTTGCTGCTCCATGACCTCATGCAGCACAGACCGCGTGCTGTCGCTCATCTTATCGAACTCGTCGATGCAGCAGATGCCGTTGTCACTGAGCACGAGCGCTCCCGTCTGCAGAACCAGCTGTCGGGTTTCCGGGTCCTTCATCACGTACGCTGTGAGACCCACAGCGCTGGATCCTTTCCCAGACGTGTACTGCCCACGAGGAACCAGGTTATACACATACTGCAGCAGCTGGGATTTACTGGTACCCGGATCACCACAAAGCAGGATGTTGATCTCTGCGCGGAAGTTTCCGCGGCCCGTCTGAGTGAAGTCCTTACGGGTCCCACCAAATAACTGCAGCAGGATGCCCTGGGAAAAAAAAGCCTACTATTAACTCACATCCTGAGAAACATTTGAATTGCATCTGTTCTAAGGAAAAACATGAGGTCGTCTTAAGCAGTACCAATTAAAACTCACTTTCTTGATGTCCTCGTGTTCATAGATGCTGGGCGCCAGCGCGGAGGACAAGCGATCGTAGACGTCCGGTTTGGCCGCTAGTTCTTTGAGCATTGCGACCCGTTCTTTGGTGAAGAGTTTCTGCTCGCCGTCCTCATCCAGTCCGTGAAGACGCTTCTCATCCGTCTTCCGGAAGTGGATGACGTCGATGTGGGTCTTGTACACAGACTTCACCTGGCTCTGTCGTGGGTTCAGGCGCATGGGGGCGGCTCTGTAAATGCCTGATGAGAATAACAGACATGCTGGTTAAGACTTTTCACAATACCAATTATATTATAATACATTAAAAAAAAAAAACTTCAATTGACATCAAAGCTTTTAAAATATTTAATTCAAAATTCTCTTGATAAAGTAATTAGATAAAA